CCGCTCGGGTTCCCGCTTTGGGAGTGGGAGTACGATCAGCAGCAGCAGCAACAGCAGCTCTACCGCTTCTGGCAGGGCCGCAAACAGGAAGCGCGTCACGCGCAGAGAGCGGAAGAACCCCCGTCCTTTTTTGCCCTGTGTCTATAGAGCGAGAAAAAAGGAAGAGGGGTATATATAGGCTGCGGACTTCCGGGACCAGCTGTCCCCGCCCCTTTCCGGGGAAACCCAGGGCCCTTCCTCCCGTAAAGAGAGCGCCCGAGGCGACCGTTACGGGACTGACGGCGCCTTTCTGAAGCTCAAAGCGGAGCACGTTGGAGCCCAACTGAGGCGGGCGTCCTTGGGCCGGGGAGATGTGGGCAACGGGGATGCTTGACCCTCGGCTGAGCCCTGTTAGGAGCGAGGAGGGCCGTTCCTGCGTGCCCCCCTCGCGAGGAGCCCCAACCCGCAGCGAAGAGAGCGGGCCGCCCCCTCGGCCTTCCCCGAAGGCTCCAGCGCCGCCGAAAAGAAGGGCTTAGGCGCACCAAAGGAGGCCCGCGCTACAAAGACGTCCGCTGCTCTGGGCCGAAACTTGCTTACCGGCGGATCGCCAGTCACAGCTGTGACGAAACCTGGGATTTCTTCCCGGCTTTGGAAAAGCGGCTCTCACTTCCTCCTCGAGGGAGATGGGGGAAAACAGCAACAAAGGAGGGAAGGAAGGAAGGAAAGCAAGAGTCGCTTTGTATCCGGAAATTCCCGCTTGGAATCATAGGGCGGGTCACTCTGCGCGAGTCATCTCTATGTGACTTACTTCCGGGAGAGGGGAGGGACCCGCCGAAGGAGGAGCCTCTTCACGGCCTCAAGGTTCCGGAAGTTTCTAGAATAAGTCGTCTCTCCCCTCCCCTTTTCCACCTCATCTTCCCCGGGAGAGACAGGTTATAGGGCTGCGCACGCCCCCTGGTGGCTGCCCCGAGAGTAGCACCTCACGCGAAGGGAAAGGGAGGGAAGAGATGAACCCTGGGGAGCGGGAGGATAGTAATAGTAATACAGTATATATAAATAACATTTCTTTCTTTTTTAAAGAAAGATTTTTTATTTCTCTGTGTGAGCGTGCCTTTGAGTCAGTCTGGACTCCTAGCGACTGCCTGGACAAGCCCCTGCAGTGTTCTTGGCAAGATTTCAGAAGTTCATTGTACGAGGTACAATGACAATAGTTTACAACAGTGTTTCTCAACCTTGGGAATTTTAAAGTTGTGGGGCCCCAACCCCCCAGAATCCCCCAGCCACCGGGGCTGGGGGGG